CTCAGAGCCTGGAGCCTGCTTCAGATTCTGTGTTTCCTTCTCTCTCTGCCCCTTCCACTCTCTTTCTCAAAAATAAATAAGCATTAGAAAGGAAGGAAGGGCATCGCTTCTCAGCCTTTTGGCTAAGATCAAGTGTAAAAAGGAAGGGAGGGAGGGAGGGAGGGAGGGAGGAAGGAAGGAAGGGAGGAAGGAAGGAAGGAAGGAAGGAAAGAAGGAAGAATGAATGAATGAATACAGAGAAATCTCTTGGAAGCTTAGCCCCTTTTCCCCCAGTGGAAACATTTTGCAAAACTTTAGTATAATAATATCATGACCAGGTATTGACATTGATACAATCAGCTGGTCTTAGGGCTCCCATTTTGCTTGTCCTCATTTGCAGGTGTTCTAGGTTCTAGACAGTTGTATAAATTCTACACGTTTATATTAGTTAGCCTCCTGTCTCCACCACTAGGGTCCACACTGAACAGTTCCAATCTTGCCGGGATCTCACCCCTGCTGAATCTCCAGCAGCTACCACTCTGCCCTCCGTTTCTAAAATGTTGCTATTTCGAAAATGTTCTAGAATTGGAACCCTACACCATGTAACCTTTCAGCATTGGCTCTTTTCAGCATTATTCTCTGTAGATACATCCAAGTCGCTGTGTGACTCAAGAGTTTGTCTGATGGGCGCCTGGGTGGCGCAGTCGGTTAAGCGTCCGACTTCAGCCAGGTCACGATCTCACAGTCCGTGAGTTCGAGCCCCGCGTCGGGCTCTCGGCTGATGGCTCAGAGCCTGGAGCCTGTTTCCGATTCTGTGTCTCCCTCTCTCTCTGCCCCTCCCCCGTTCATGCTCTGTCTCTCTCTGTCCCAAAAATAAATAAAAATGTTGAGAAAAAAAAAATACTTAAAAAAAAAAAAAGAGTTTGTCTGGATGTGTTTGCAGGGCAGAGGCCTAGTTGGAGATGCTAGTGTGGGGTTCGGGGCTGGAGGTGTCCAGCATGGAGCCAGCAGCTGAACGAGATCACCCCAGGAGACAGAGGGGATCTAGGTCGATGACCGAGCGCGAGTCGATTAAGCATCTTAGTGTACTGGGCGCAGGGATGTGGCCAGCCCAGGGAGACAGATGATGTCCCTGCAGCTGGGGTGAGGCTGCCTCGGGGCTGGGTGTCTGCGGTGGGCGTGGAAGAAGCGGTTCACTCACCATCTCCCCCTTCCTCCCCTTTCTCTCTTTGCAGCCAGAGGGCTGGGCCCCTGTTGAGGGTTTAGACCAGGGTTTCCAGGGGTCCTGAATAAAATGGGAAAAGGGCAAAGAGCTGCCCCTAAGGTGAGATAGAGTCCCTTCAACAAAGACTGACCTGACTCCCGAGATGGCCTCCGTCCTTTGGGAAGAATATGATTTCTTTGACAAAGGGATGGGGCTGGCAGGTGGGGGCCGGAGGGGGAGTTTCTTGTGTATCTGGTGCAGCAGCCTGGCTTGGGTTCGGAGAGGTCCTGAATGCACGGAACAGCTCGTGAACTCCTGTCACCATCCCCTCCCCTCCGGGTCCTTGTCCCCAAAGTGTCCCCACCCCTGCCACCGCCTTTCGGGGCATGCCTCCCTTTTCTCTTGGCCCCCGTGCTTCCCTCTCCTTTTCTGTCTTACTCCCTCACTCTGTCCGTCTTCATTCTCTGTCTCTGTTCTCCCTCTCCCCCCGTTCACCACACATTCCCCTCCTCCTCTTCATCTATTTCTGCTTTTTCTCAGCCCCCTCCCCCATCTTGTTTCCACATTTTCTCTTGCTCTCTCCCATTTGTGTGTGTCTGTCCCTCTTGTGTCTTTCCCTTTGTCTGCGTCTCTGACCCCGTCTCTCGTTACCTCCTGCTCTGTCCCATCCCTGCTGTCTTCATCTCGAGCTTTTCTTCTTTTTCTCACTCTCAAGTATTATTTTTCCAGACCTTGGAGATCATCCATTGCCACCCTCAGGGGGCCCAGTGGATAAAATGTCTTAATCAGACCAGGACAGCGCGGGAGGCGAGCTCCCGTAAAAGGGCTTCCCAGGGCGAGTGACAGGGTGACATCCGTGTGGTGGCCGCAGCCCGGGCCACCCGCTGGAGGGGTTGGCGGGCCCAGACCAGAGCTCTGAGAGCACCTGCGTCTGAGGAAAGGGTGGATTGAGAGGAGACTCCCAAGGCTGCCTGGATGTCTGGGATGGGGGAGAATGGGCACAGGTGACAGTCTGGGCCTTGCCTCTGAAGCAGATTCCTTCAGCTGTCGGGAGGCGACTGCTCAGCCCTGGGGAGTCTTTCTCCAGCCCGGTCAGGGGTGGGGGTCAGGCATGTAGGCGGCTTCTTGGCACCTGCTGGTTCTGGACACATCCAAACGGCTTGTGTGTCTGATGGAGAACAGCTGCCCACACTGGGGACCCTGACAAAATGGTCAATTGAGGCTGTGTTTGCTTTCTGCTCCCCAGAGCTCTAACCGGTGCTATTTTCAACATTCTTTTGTGGAGCCAACCACCTTCAAGGCCAGGCAATGGAACCTCCAAGGATTCTACTGCTAACCGGCATCAGAGTGAGAAATGTATAGCTCCCACATGACAGTAGCCAGCTGGGGAACCTTAGCCAGCTGTTGGTTCGGGCCACGGACACTCATCTGGAGGCGGACCACCCGCCAGTGGCTGGAATCCGGACACAACCGTGCCTCCTGTGGGTCGGTGGAGAATCTGTTTGACGAGGAGGTTGTTAAGCTGAGCAGACCCCTGGGAATAGGAAGCTGCTTTGATGCTCTGCGCTGGGGAAGGATCTTCCCTTCCTTGCTCTGTGCCAGGAGTGGGTCAGTCTTGGCTCCAGACAAATCCGTTCGCTGATGTCCCCCTCAGATCCACCATTGCTCCTGCTGTGCCCTTTGCCCCACAATGTCCTCTCAGCCAGGAGTGCTGGCCTCACGCTGCCCACGAAGCCATCCACAAGTGACTTTTTTTTTTTTAACATTTATTTATTTATCTATTTATGTCCAAGTTAGTTAACATCTAGGGCAATAATGACATCAGGAGTAGATTCCAGCGTTTTCTCCCCTACATATAACACCCAGTGCTCACCCCAACAAGCACCCTTCTTAATGCCCATCCCCCATTTAGCCCATCCCCCCACCCACAGCCCCCTCCAGCAACCCTCAGTTTGTTCTCTGTATTTAAGAGTCTCTTATGTTTGTCCCCCTCCTTGTTTTTCTTTTGCTTCCCTTCCCTTATTTTCATCTATTTCGTATCTTAAATTCCACATATGGGTGAAGTCATATATTTGTCTTTCTCTGACTAATTTCACTTAGCCTAATACCCTCCAGTTCCATCCACGTAGTTGCAAATGGCAAGATTTCATTCCTTTTGATTGCCGAGTAATACTCCATTGTATATATAGACCACATCTTCTTTATCCATTCATCCATCGATGGACATTTGGGCTCTTTCCATACTTTGGCTACTGTTGATCGTGCTGCCATAAACATGGGGGTGCACGTGCCCCTTCAAAACAGCACACCTGTATCCCTTGGATAAATACCTAGTAGTGCAACTGCTGAGTTGTAGGTAGTTCCATTTTCAATTTTTTGAGGAACCTCCAGACTGTTTTCCAGAGTGGCTACACCAGTTTGCACTCCCACCAACACTGCAAAAGAGATCCTCTTTCTCCGCATCCTCACCAGCATCTGTTGTTGCCTGAGCTGTTAATGTGAGCCATTCTGACAGGTATGCGGTGGTATCTCATTGTGGTTTTGACTTGTAGCTCCCTGATGATGAGTGAAGTTGAGCATTTTTTCATGTGTCAGTTGGCCATCTGGATGTCTTCTTTGGAGAAGCTTCTATTCATGTCTTTTTCCCATTTCTTCACTGGATTATTTGTTTTTTGGGTGTCGAGTTTGAGAAGTTCTTTAGAGATTTTGGATACTAACCCTTTATCTGATATATCCTCTGCAAATATCTTCCATGAGTGACCTTTCTGAGGCATGGAGACAACCGACCCTGGGAGCCCAGAGATCCTACAACATCTGCAGGCCCCCTTGTCAAAGCTTATTAAGAATTTCAGGGCAGCGATAGAGCATCAGAGCAAGTGCGGGCCTGTGTGTCTATGTGGATGGCACGCCCACGAGCCGGGCCCTGTCTGTCCCCTACAAGTGTCACGCCTTGAGTGAGGTCCTAAGCCTGCTGAGTCTCAGTTTCCACATCTGTGTAGCGGGATTTATAGTTACAGCCTCTGCACAGGATTGTCATGAGCAGTAATTCAGATAACATAAGGGTCAGTGGCTGTTATTATGACTGGTGATGTTGATATTATTTAGTAGCTCTTCTCTGTGCTGTTCCCTCAGTGCTTTGCATATGCTGCCACGGATGTGCTTTATTTTATTTATTTATTTATTTATTTATTTATTTATTTATTTAAACATTTTTAATGTTCATTTATTTTTGAGAGAGTATGCATGCATGTGAGCAGGGGAGGGGCAGAAGGAGAGGGAGACACAGAATGTGAGTGGGGGAGGGGCAGAGATTGGGACACAGAATCCGAAGCAGGCTCCAGGCTCCAAGCTGTCAGCAGAGAGCCCGACGCGGGGCTCAAACTCACGGACCTTGAGATCACGACCTGAGCCGAAGTCGGATGCTCAACTGACTGAGCCACCCAGGAGCCCCTAGCTTTCCATTTTTTTAAACAAGAAGCTTGAAATCCATCTTTTAAAGAGAAGAGGCATTTCATTCAAAAACTTGGGAACACAACCAGACGAAAGGAGCAAGAAACAGCACAGTGGAGGCCAAGCGGGATGCACCTGTGGGTCTGGGTTGGGCCCATTGGTGACCTTAGTGGCAGGGCCTGAAGACAGCGGTGAAGAGTCTCATTTTATTCTCACCATCACAAGGTACTTACTGGAGGATCAAGTTTCTTTTTTTTTTTTAATGTATTCTTTATTTTTTAATTTTTATTTGTTTATTTTGAGAGAGAGAGAGGGCACAAGCTGGGGAGGGGCAGGGAGAGAGGGAGAATCCCAAGCAGCACGGAGCCCGACGTGGGTCTCAATCTCAGGAACCGTGAGATCATGACCTGAGCCAAAACTGAGGGTCAGATGCTTAACCGACTGAACCACCCAGGCTCCCCGGATCGGATTTGTTTCTTAAGACAATCCCTCAGGCTGCTGTGCGGAGAATGGGTTAAGGGCAGAGCGGCCCCTGAGAGGTGGCACAGACAGGACACCAGTGGTGATGGGGAGAGGGGTTTGGGAGGAATTAGCAGAAGGGATTGAGGACCCGTGGGATGTGGGCGTCCAGTCTGGGCAGTGGGTGGGCCCCACAGTGAGTCTCACGACCGCTGAAAGCCTCAGTTTCCTCCTCCGTGCAAGGGCCTTCTGACACCCACGCGGAGCAGGTGCACAGTTAACCACACGCGTGTAAGTAGATGGCCATCGGACAGTTCTGTCAGTGGCTGTGTGATGATGAGCGGCAAAGGCCAAGTGACTCAGTGTCGAAACAGGACGACTCTGATGCAAACCATGAAGTGGAGGGGGAGCCGGGGGCTCCAGGAAGAGGGGCTCCGAGGGTGGAGCGGCCGGAGGGAGGAGGGGCCAAGCAGGCAACAGCGGAGCCCTGGCCATGGGGAGAGAGAGATCAGACTCTGGGTCAGGGGCTGGGCACCCCCGCCTCCCGCCCCGTTCGGTCTAGTTCTGGAGGAGGCTGTGACATGACTCCTCCCGCCGGCTGTCCTGTCTCCCCTCCCAGAGTGTGTGTGAGTTTGGATTTAGGAGCCGGTATCTTGCCAGAACCTCTAGGGGCTCCTCCTCTGCTAGTTTCCATGTTAACGCTTTTCCTCCAGCTAAAAGCAGAATCCACAGGGGAGCCACGAACCTTCTAGAGCCGCTGCCCAGGGTCAGCATCACCTATAGCGAGATTTCACCAGCTGGTCCCTCCTGCGAGGGCCTTCTGGGCGGGGGCTGCGCGCTGCGGGAGCCTCCAGCCCTGTTCCTCTGCCATCAGAGCCTCAGCAGCCCCCTCCTGCCACCGGCCGCTCTGGGTCACTGGGCTGGCAGGGGTTGGGGCTGGTGGCCCAGCTGGGTGGGAGGGCTCTGCCGTCTTGCAGGCATTGTGAGCCTGGCCAGTCCAGCGCTGCAGACGGGATTGGACACGCAGGGGCTGCTTGCAGAGAAGTGGGTGGAGCTCTGCTCACAGCTGTCAGAGCCTTCTGGAAGACTGGGGGCCCTGGAGCAAACACGGAACATTGCAGGCAGAGTAGCCAGGCGTGGCCTGACGTACAGAAGGCCCCAGGCCGGGACGGAGGAGGGAGGCTGGGACCAAGGGGGACGGTCCTGTGGGCTGGCTGTGGCAGGGGGCAGTGCCCACAGCCCAGGAGAGCCCGCTCTGATTCCCAGCTTGGCCTTTCACCGTCTGTGTGACCCTGGATGTGTGGCCTACCTTCTCTCCAAGCCTGCTCTTTGCTCCACAGGACGGGCACCGTCGCAGTGCCGGCCTCATGGGCTTCCGCAAGCTCCCGGGGAGACGGTGGGAAGGGCAGCGGCCGCTGGCGGTCCCCAGCCCGTGGGGCCCAGAGCAAGGGACTGGAAGCGACACCTTCTCCATCCAGGTCCTCGACAGCCCTGTGTCTCAGTGATGTGCCGTGAGCTTGGAGCCACTGCCGGCTCAGATGCCCCCCAGGGCTCGGCAGGTCCTGCGGACCAGTGAGTCAGGCCGGATGGGGGCGGTGGCGAACCGGACAGCACATGCCCTGTCTGCAGGGGCCAGCTCACGGCACCCCACAGGAATGCGCGCTCAGAGTGTCCAGATCGCTCCCTTCAAGAGAAATAGGAACTCAGTATTTATTTGAAACATCCCAGCTCTTCCCTGTTGGCAGCTAACTCGTTTTCAAATTCACACGAGCCAAACTGGCCGTGTCTGGGGGCCAGATGCTAAGCAAAGGCCACCAGTTTGTGATCTCCAAGTACGTTGAAGTCGGGGGCGTGGGGGCGGTTCCTGAGGTTGCTAAGGTTGGGAAGCAGGTGATAAAGGGACCTCCTGAGTCCTGCACTCAGAGCTCACCCCCCCGCCCCACTCAGTCCTGGGACTTTCTGTTGTCCTGGCTCCGTGCCGGGGCTGGGGGTCCTGGATTCAAATCTGTCTCTGCCAGTTCCCAGCTGAATATTTGGGCAAGTACCTCTCTGGCCCTCAGTTTCCTCTTCTGCAAAATGGAATTAGGGATACCTGCCTCTGTCGGCAGCTGCGAGAACAGATAGGCTGTGAATCCCTAGGGCCCATCATGGCCTGGGTGCCCAGAAAGTGCTCAACACCAGGTCGCTGTGGTTGTGGAGAGGCCAGGGGCTTGGTCTGTGCAGATAGGGCTGTTTCTTCTGTCCGTTGCTTCCCCCCAGCCCCCAAATACGTTCTATAATTTTTTTTTAATTTTTTTTCAACGTTTATTTATTTTTGGGACAGAGAGAGACAGAGCATGAACGGGGGAGGGGCAGAGAGAGAGGGAGACACAGAATCGGAAACAGGCTCCAGGCTCCGAGCCATCAGCCCAGAGCCCGAGGCGGGGCTTGAACTCCCGGACCGCGAGATCGTGACCTGGCCGAAGTCGGACGCTTAACCGACTGCGCCACCCAGGCGCCCCTATAATTTTAGAATTAGTGACAGGTTTCTGTGATAACACAGAGAGTTCCCATGTACCCCTCACCCGGTTTCCCTCGTTGTTAATATCTGATTTTACTGTGGTGCAGTCACAGTCAGGAGACCGACGTCAATGGATTGCTTGCTAATAACTAAGCTGCACGGTTTATTCAGACTCTGCTAGTTTTTCCCTGGTGTCCTTTCATTTTTTTTTTCAACTTTTTTTTTTTTTATTATTATTTTTTTTTATTTTTGAGACAGAGAGAGACAGAGCATGAACGGGGGAGGGGCAGAGAGAGAGAGGGAGACACAGAATCGGAAACAGGCTCCAGGCTCTGAGCCATCAGCCCAGAGCCCGACGCGGGGCTCGAACTCACGGACCCCGAGATCGTGACCTGGCTGAAGTCGGACGCTTAACCGACTGTGCCACCCAGGCGCCCCAGCCTGGTGTCCTTTTCTGTCCCAGGATGTCATCCAAGACACAAACCGTACTCTATTTAGTCACCTTGCCTCCTCAGCTGCCTCTGGTCTATGACACCTTCTCCGACTTTCCTTGTTTTTGATGACCTGGACAGTTTTGAGGAATATGGGTTAAGTAGTTTGCACAATATCCCTCTGTTAGGGCTGATCTGATGTTTTTCTTGTGGTTCGATTGGGCTTACGGGTTTGGGGAGGAAGACCACAGAGGTGAGGTGACTTCGCGTCACATCCAGGGCACAAGCTGTCCACAAGATGTATCGATGACGGTGTTGACCTTGACCCCCGGACTGAGTGGTGTTTGCCAGGTTTTTCCTGAGCAGTTAGTTTTCCTCCTTTTCACATTCTGCTCTTTGAAAGCAAATGGCTGAGTGCAGCCCCATCAAGGGGAGGGCCAGCTAAGCCCGAGCTCCCGGAGGGGGGCAGTTCATGCAGAAGCCAATGGGAAATCTTTGATGTCATTTGGAATTAGTTTGAGATTCGTATCTCTCCTCTGTCTGTCTTTACGTCTAGCAGTTTTCACTTTATTTTTTTCTTTTTTGAGATCACTGTATTTCATTGTCTGAACAACTTGGGTTGAGTCTTGTTTCCACCCATTTAACTATCTGCTTGGCCTTGAGTGACTCACTGTCAAAGGGGGTGATGATGAGAATAAGGCAGCCTGTGTCAGGCTGCGTTCGGAAGCCTGACCAAAGTGGTTTAACCAAATAGGGTTTGTGTTTTGTGACACAAAACACATGACAAGTGGTCTTCATGTGACAAGAAGCCCTGAGTGGCCAGTGGAGCCGATGGGGCTTCTCAGGGAGGCTACTGGGGACCCAGGCTTTTCCTGGCTGCTGGTCTGCTATCCTTAGCATGTGTCTCTTATCCTCATGGTCCCAAGGTGGCTGCAGCACCTCCAGCATCACTGCTGTGCTCCAAACAGGACTCCGTGAAATCGATAGCATTATCCCCATTTTACAGAGAGGAAAGGGAGGCTCAAAAGGAGAAAGCCCTACTTAAAGAGGCTGTGAGGGTCACAGACAATGAGTGTAGCCTGGGCACAGTAGGTGTAATGATTGTTTTCTCAGTGGGAGGTACCTCTCCCAAGGCCCTCAAGCTGGGAGGGCCTGGTGACCTGGGGGGAGGAGTGTGGGCCTCTGGGCACCTGAGCTCCTGCGCAAGGTCAACCTGGGGCCTCAGCCCCCCAGGGGTTGACCAGGCTCTGGGGCTGACCCTGTGTTCCTCAGAACCCAGCCCCTGAGTGGGGATGCCATGTGGCCTGCTGCTTCTGGTGGGGTGGGGGGTAGGGGTGCGGGGATGCTGGGTGGGGTAGGACAGGCTGGAGGTGCAGTGATGGCCCAAGAACAGCCAACCAAATAGCACAGAGTTCTGGGACAGTCGGCAAGGTGGGCCTGCCCCTGAGTCCTACAGGCCGTGTGGTGACTCAGTGCCCATTGAATGGGAGCCACAGGGAAGGATTTGTTGTCCTGATCTATTGATTCAGGGGCAAACCATGACTGGGGGTCCAAATCTGGCCTGCCTCCATTTTTGTAAATAAAGTTTTATTGGCACGCAACCATGCTGTTAGTTTACATATTATCTGTGGCTGCTGTTGTGCTACAAGGGCGGAGTTGAGTAGTTGCCATAGCGACCATGTGGCTTGCAAAGCCTAAAGTATTTTCTGTCTGGCCCTTCACAGAACAAGTTTGCAGACCCTGGCCTGAACAGAAAGCAGGCCAGGATTAGGAATGTGCATTTAGGGCTTCCCAAGAGGGAGATACAAGGCGGGCCAGGACTTCCAAGGGGCTGTGGGGATTTCTGGAAACAAGTGGGCTGGTGGTAGAGGACAAGCTAAGGCCCTGGGGTGGGTGAGCTTAGCTTTAGAAGACAGTGATCTGCCCTGAACCCAGTGCTGCAGCAGCCATTTGGCAGGGGCGGGGGGGGGGGGGGGCTGTTGTCAGAAAAGAAGCTTTCCAGGGTGGTCATCTTTGGGGTTTCTGCCGGAAGCAGCAGGATATAGAAATGGTGAAGTGGCCACGAGCGATCTGGGGCCCCGGGAGAGTGTACCCCCTGTTCCTCAGCTCAGCCACCCAGAGCCACGAGGAACTGTGGGCCCAGTGCTGCCAGATCATCTGATTTTCCGAGAGAAGCTGGCAGTCTGGTTTTCATGAGAAATCTCCTGATTTGTTACATGTTTGCAATTAATTCCTTTTTTTTTTTTTTTTTTAAATCATGAAGCAGACCAAGCGCATATCCGTCTGGTGTGTGGGCTCCAGGTTTGAGAACTCCGGTGTCCAGGGTGGAAGTGAGGATTCTGGAATGTGGGTAGACTGGGGAGAGCAGGCCAGGCCCAGCGCCTTAAGCCAGCAGGCTGGAGCTCTGAGCTCCCGCTGGGGGCAGTGGGGGTTGGGGGGGGGGGGACCAGGGAGGGAGACTCAGAGGGGGCGGGGCAGAGTCTTGGAGCTGCAGTGTCAGATTTCCGCATCTCCCAACCGATCCCAGGCTGGTGGAACATTCCTGCCAGCGGGCTGGGAGCTGGGGAGCCAGGAGGTGGACACTCCTCTTTGCTCACCTGGAAGCCCCCGGAGGGGAATCTTATTACCAGCTGTAGAGGGAGGGGTGGGAGGTGGAGGTCTCTGAGGTCCCCTCCGAGGACTGAGATTCTCAACGGTTTGGGTTTGCTGCTCTGTCCCCAAAGACCTGGGTCCTGTCTGATGATGGGCAAAGGCTGGGCTTAGAACTAGACAGGCCTGGTTGGACTCAGCTCCCTGGTCCCCTGGCTCCTGCCACTTCTGGGACATGGGGATGACCCCAGTTTTGCAGGTTGCCATGGGAATCCGGGGGAAAATGGGTGTGAGGGGCTGGGCTTCTGTGGCGTCCTGACATGCCTGTGATTGGGGGCCTGGCCTCTAGGATGTGGTCTCTTCTTCCTGGCAGCAGCTGGGGCGTCTGGCTGGTTTCAGCCTCACACTCCAGCCCTTACCTGCTGATTCAAGCCACTGGCTCCCCTGGGGGTTCCTGGTTTCAGGACACCTGGTTGCAAGTGACAACAACCCAGGTCATCTTGGCTTAAGCAAAAAAGAGGCTTCCGCGGCCCATGGACGGGAAATGTCCCAGGGAAACTGTAGCCTCAGGCAGTAACGGATTCAGGTGCCCGAATGATATCGTCAGGACCTTGTCCCAGCTCTGCTTCCCCTGCTGGCTTCAATCCCAGGCAGGTCCTGCGCTGTGGTGGCAGCGGTGGCCCTCAGGCTCACAGCCATCCACTCTGGAACTTGGGGGCCGGGAAGCAGGGAGAGCATCCCTGTCTCAGCAGTGAAGGTCTCAAGGCTGCCGGCTGCCGGCCACAGGCTCAGCCCTCCACCAGTCACGGCTGGGGTGGGTCAGGCCTCCACCCCGCCCCCACTGGAGCCGTAGGGTGGGCACGGGCACAAGTGACCGGCAAGAAGATCGAGACTGGGCGGTGGAGATTAGAGGGCCCGTGCCCGTACCATGCCCCCCCTACTCTCCAAGAGTTGTGCCCTGAGCCACAGGGGGCCCCCTGGGCTCATCATAGGCCGTCCCTGTGACTTCAGGCTCAGTTCTCCAACCAGCTATGAGTCACCGTCCCACACTTGCCCACGTGCTCCAAGATGTTGGCAGGGGTTTGGTCCAGGGCTGCTGGGAGGCTCTTATGATGACTTCTCCTTGATCCTGTCTTAATTATATTGATTTTCTCCCTTTTTTGGAAGTCTGTCTCCTTGAAGGAGGAGACAGAAGCCCCATCTCTCACAGGGATGCTTTACCCATTCAGAAACACCCCCCCCCCCTTGAATGGTAGGACTATTTCAAAAAGAATAGGGGATCAGGATGAGGCCACATGACTGGGTCAGGACACTGGCTCCGGCTCGGCCAGTGACCCCTCACGGGTCCCTTCCCTTGCCTGTGACCAGGGGGTCAGGAGAAGGGACCTCTCTCTTCATGATCACAAAATGCTCTTTGGCCCCCATGCGTCAGGTGAGGGAGCGGGTCTTTGAGCTGTCATTGTTCGCCCATTTTCTAGATACTACGACGGCCAGCGCTCAGAGGAAATGGGGTGAAGAGATTCTAAGCCTCTGGGCTATCCCCAGACTGCATCCCCCAGGCTGCGAGACGTATCTTGGGGTTCGTTTCCCAGTTGTGCTCTGGTCACAGAGCTATCAGAGGACTTGCTTCCCATTCAGGGGGGCAGGGGACGGCCCAGGAAGGAGCTAGAGAAAGGAGGCAGGGGATAGGCCTGGGCCCCAAGTACCCCCAAGTAGGCTGAGCCAAGAATGGCGACGCGGGGCTGCCGGACAGAATGTTCTGTTGCCCTTCTGTGAGGCTGGCCCTTGGCCAAGGTGAACTGCATTTTCCAGGTATGGTGGCACAGGGAGGGAGGTAGTCCTTACACCCCGAGCACATTCCATCTTATTGGAAATACTTTGATGGTTTCCTTCTGCAGAGAAAGAGGGTTCGGTGTGGGGGGACGTTCAGGGCTTTGGGGCTTCGACATGAGAATCTGTCCACTTCCGCCCTAAGCCTGACTGCTCACCTTTAGGGGACACTGGCCACAGCCCCCTCCCTGGTCCCCTCTTTCCCTTCATTTCTGCTCTTTCTAAAACACATACCGAACTCCACACACACATTCCCGGTTAGTGACTTAAATGGCTCCCTGGTCTCTTGGGATGAAGTTCTTGGCATGGCTTCCAAGAGCCCATGTGGTCTGGCCTTGGTTTATAGCCTCATCGCTGTCCACACCCTGACCTGGCCCCATTCCGGACTGAGCCCCTGGAGTCCCCAGGTCTGCCCCCCGCCTCCTGCCACAGCGTGTGACATGCTCTTGTCTCAGCCTGGAGGCCCCATCCTGGAAGCAGGGAGTTTCAAGCCTCTGGAAACCTCCCCGACCCCCCAGGAGGAGTTGGGCCACCTCTGGGTTCTACAGGTGCCCATGCCGTCCCACCATTAGCCATCACGCGGCGGTGGTGTTCCGTGGGTTCCTTTGTCTCTCCCGTCAGTGAGCCCGGGATGTGGGCAGAAGGGGCCTGGCTGGTGCGGGTGCTCGGGACGTGGTGGTGGAGTCCGGCGGACGCCTGGAGGACATGGGACCCCCTTGATCCTTGGTTTCCCCGCCTCCACGATGGGGATGGCGGTCAGGGCGTCACTGTGGGGAACAAGTGTGCGGGGAGGCTGAGTGTGCATCAGCGTGGTGCGGGGCACACGCGGGCGTTGGGCTTTGGGAGAGCTGTGGCTGGCGGGGAGCCAGAGCCCCCACCCGCTGCCCCCGCCCCTGCACCTGCAGACCCGCCCGAGCTGGGTCTCAGCTTGGGGTCCAGGAGACCGGACGCTCCAGGGAGGTGTGGGGGGAAACCGGGAGAGTGGTGAGAGGGACCCCCGCTCCTCCCTCTGCGCCCCTGAGCCCCGTGCACCTGCCCGTCTGCCAGCGGAGCCCGGCCCCCCTCCTCCTGAGGGCTCAGAGGCCTCGTCATAGAATCAGCCCCGGCTCTGCAGGAGAGTCCTCTGGGGGCTTGGAAATACCCCCGTGCTAGGCCACGCCCCAAACCAGTGTCATCAGACTCAGGGTGGGGGGCCCCCAAGGCAGAAGTTCTGTTTGACCCGGTCCTCGGTGAAACTAGGGTTTCACCCTGAGAACGGGTCTCACCAACCAGAGCTTGGGGAGGGCTGCTTCATGGGAAATCTCTTCTCCCCTCCCTTCTCAACAAAAATCCACACCAGAAATAAGCGAGCACTTCTTAAAATGTTTTTTGTTTTTTGTTTTTTTTTTTTAAAGTAACACATTCATATGGCACCAGCTTGAGGCGGCACAGATGGGGACCCGGGGCAGGAATGCGCAGCCTGCCCCCCAGTCGCCCAGCAGCAGGCCCTGGGCTGGGCTGGGCTGGGGCGGGTGGGAAGGGGGGGTGCACCGAGCTCCTGTGCACACACGTGTGGAGGGACCCCCGCCTCGCACCAGGGACACCTGCTTTCTCGGTCACTCTCCGTCACAACCTGGCCCTGCCTGTCCGTGTCCGTGGGGGCCAGCGTTGGCTCTCACGGGCAGTGCCCCCCAAGCATCCTGGAGTCTTTGTCCCGCGGGCCACGTCCCCTGCAGGATGCATCCGGTCCCACAACTGGACCTCTCTGGTCACAGAACAAGTGCGCTGAATGGCTCACGGGGTACCCCGCTTTCTGTCGTTCCAGAAGTCGTCCACGCCGGCACCCCTGCCCTTCGAGCTGCCCGCGCTGTACCGGACGGAGGACTACTTCCCCGGGGACGCAGGGGACGCGCCCAGGACCCCCAGTCGCCGCCGCCACAGGCGCGTGTGAGCTCTGCCGTCGGGTCGTCGGAAAGCAACAGTGCGTGCGTGCGGCGGCTCGGGTTTTCTGGTCTTCTCGCTGTGCATTTGTGTTTTTCAGTTTCCTCTCTCGCTTCATGTGAAATGGCGGGGTTCGGAGAAGCATCTGGAGCCCCCACGCGTGCCACGCTGAGCCAGCCGGCGGTTCCCACCTGGGTCGGGCCTGCCTGGTGTCCTGGGACGGGGCGCGTGGGTCTCGGGAGCTTCGGGCCTCCGGGACCGGGGACTCGATCTCCCTGTCGGTCTGTGCCCTGCTTTGCGTGGGCATCATGGGGGATGGGGGGCGCTCCTTCACCAGGGTGCGTGGCTCCAGGTCTGTCTGTGGTGGGTAGTTTGGCTGCCAAGCCCCGTGCCCACGGGCCTGTGAATCATCTCAATAAAGGTGTCAAGAGCTCATGTGTGGTCTGGGTGCAAATGTCCTCTGGAAGGGAGCACCTGCCCCCTAGGCCAGCCTGCCCCTCCCACTCTGCTCCTCAGGGAGCCCTGCCTGAGGGGAGGGGGCGGCGGTGGTCATCAGAGTCCCAGTAAGAGTGGAGAGGTCACGGGGCGCCTGGGTGGCTCAGTCGGTGAAGCGTGGGACTCTTGATTTCGGCTCAGGTCATGATCTCACTATTGGAGTTCAAGCCCTGCACAGGGCTCTGTGCTGAGGATGGGAGCCTGCTTGGGGATTCTCTGTCTCCCTTTCTCTCTGCTCCTACCCCACTTGCTCGCTATCTCTCTCTCTCGCTCGCTCTCTCTCTCTCAAAATAAATAAACTTAAAAAACAATTTTTTTAAATTAAAAACAAAAAAGGGTGGGGCTCCTGGGTGGCTCAGTCAGTTAAGCATCGGAATCTTCGCTTCAGCTCAGATCATGATCTCAGGTTCATGAGACTGAGCCCCACGTCGGGCTCTTTGCTGATCGAGGAGTCTGCTTGGGATTCTGTCTCTCCCTCTCTCTGCCTATCCCCTGCTCATGCTTGCTTTCTCTCTCTCTCCTAAAATAAATACACTTAAAGAAAAAAAAAGAATGCAGAGGTCAATAGGGTTTCCAGGGATCTTCAAAGGTAGATTTCATGCAACTGAATTTCCTGCTCTTGTCCTGAAATTCCCGATTTCTCAGTTTGGTGATGGGTAATTCTGTTTTTCTGGAATTCCTCCCAGGGCCAAGAAGACACACACACTCGCCCAGCTGAACCGCAGACCTGCATTAGAATTTCAAGGAAATCTAACCTAATCAGGAGACAGAGCAGTAGAAAAGCAAGGGGAGTGCTGCATCTTGACAATTTTAGGACAATTTCTTGGAATTAAAGCTGTAGGCAGACATCTTATTTCAAGAAGAGCCAGCGTTTTCCTTTCGTTTTCTTCTTCTGTTTTTTTAACGTTTATTTGTTTTCGAGAAAGACAGAGAGCCTGAGCAGGGGTGGGGTTAGAGAGAGGGAGACAGAGGATCAGTAGCAGGCTCTGTGCTGATAGCAGACGGCTGGATGTGGGGCTCGAACTCATGAACCCTGACCTGAACTGAAGTTAGATGTTCAACTGACTAGGCTGCCCAGGTGCCCCGAGAAAAGCCAGTATATATAGTATAGAGTATATCTATATATCTATATCTATATATCTATATCTATATCTCTATCTGTATCTGTATCTATATCTATATATATCACTTATATAGAGAGAGTTGTTTTTTTTTTTAGTAAAAACTTGTATACATTGTTTTAAATTACTGAGGTATAGTTTGTATACAGAAAAATTCACCTAGGTGTAAGGTTCACTGAATTTTCACAAACCCCACCCGGGGCTAACAGCATCCTGACATCTGTCAACGGAGACAGGTGTTGCTGGTGTCTGTACTTCCTGTAGCCAGAGGACGGGTGGATGGTGTGCATGTGGTGTCGTCTCTGTGTCCGGCTTCCCTGGCTGGTACGTAGCTGCAGACTGGTCGTCCTCGTGGCTGTGCTGTATTGATCGGGACTGGTTTTAATGAAGGAGGCTCAGATACTCACTGTGCACCACTGTGTCTGCTCAGGGAAAGCATAGATTCGATGAAAAGTTAATTTTTCAGGCAAGAGGCGAGGACACCGATTTCCAGAAGGCCGAGTACTTGACTGCTGGAGCCGCCTAGGCTGCTTTCTCCTTTCAGAGCCTGGCGCAGGGGCCAGGGAGAGGTGAAAGGGAGTAGCCCGAGTGGCCTAAAATAGAGACCCACAGGGCTGTGGCCAAGAGCTTATAGGCTCTGAGGTCAGCCCGCCTGGGTGGCACCATCATCTCCTGCACGCTTCAGCTGTGTGGCCATGGGTTAGTTGCTTACCCTCTCTGAGCCGAGCTTCGTCCTCCGCAAGAATGCAGAGAAGGGTGGCACCTGCCCGTTGGGTGTTCGTGAGGGTGAAAAGAGGTGACCCGTGTGAGCGCTTGACTCAGGGCTGGCCGCAAGCACCGCAATGGGGGACGTTGTGGTGGTGATTGGCGCTGTGGGGAAAGGGCTGACTGTGTGCTCTTTCTCCCTCGATCACTGGCATCCAAGAGCATCAACAGCGAGTGCCTTAGGGACCGGCCTTGAATTTCAGAGTAAGAACAGGCTGTGGAAGAGTTGGCAAGGCCAACTAGCCCTCTCTGCGTTTTGCTGTCCTGGGCTTCTTTTAGGGACACCCCCCCTTTCCCCCAAGTCAGCGAGGAAGGGAGAGGTTGCATGAGAACATGTGTGGAGAAAGCTGACTAATGAACTAGGATTGGCCATTCCGAGTTTTCTGGGAGTTGCAGTGCTAAATGGAGCTTTTAGGGACACTTGGGGACACCTGGGGGGTGGGGGAGGGAAGGCCAGGACGCAGAGCCTGCCGGCAATTCTGACCTCAGTCCTTTGAGCTGCTGGTATTCTGGAGGCACCGTCCTTGGGAGAGGTGACCTGATGTCCTGTCACGTAAAGGAAAGGCTTGACTACTGGCTCCAGGAGGCCCCACAGCCCTTGCCGGGGTCATTTTGCAGCCAGGGAAGAGGTTCTGTTGTGGGGCGCCAGTATAAAGGGCATTGCAAATTTTCATTAAGAGCAAGGCTCTTTGGTCAGTCACCTCCCTGCTTTCCCAGCAGACATGAACTTCATGTCTGTCAAAGCAAGAGGTTCCAAGAAGGAGGCTCACAGGTTGGCAGAAATGTGTGGTTTGCCCTGAACTGTTTAAAAATGTTTTCATGTTGAGACAACTGGGTAACCATCTGGAAAAAATAAAGTGAGTTCCATACCTCACTCTGTACACCAGGAACATTTCCAAAATTCCAAACGGATTAAGGATGAGTTAGATGTATAAAATGAATTTATACGAGGAGGCAGAAACATTGGAGAATCATTCGAAATCCAGAAGCCTTAAAACCAGAGTTAAATCCTCTGCATGGCAAAAACAAATAAAAAATTCAACCAAAAAAAAAAAAAATCCATACAGTATGATAAATCCTAAGCAAATTTGAAAGACGAGTGACCAAAAAGACAAATGACAAATTGGGAAAGTAATATGTGCAGCACGTATTATAAAGGGATAGTCTCCCTAATATTCAACAGCTCCTACAAATAAATAAGAGAAAAAGTAGAAAAATGAGCAAAGGATATGAACAGGCATTTCACAGAAAAGAAAATGTAAGAGACATTTTAATCCTATGAAGAGATACTCGATCCGTACCAGTAAGTATGAAAGAAGATTGAAATTCCTCAGTTTTCACGATTTCAGGCTGGCAAACACGGAAGTTTTTGATGACACTTAGTGAAATTTTGAAGAAAGAAGCGTTCTCATGCATTGGCAGTGAGACACCGTTCTGGTGGAGGTCTCTGGACAGTCCCTGTCCGAATGACAAGTGTAGACGCCCTTGAACCTGCTAACTTCACCTCTAGGGATCTCACCTCCCAATATACACACACACAGGAGAGAAATGATAAATGCGAAAGGCTCTTCTCCACATGTGGAAATAACACGAGATTGGAAGGAACCTAAGTGTCCATCAGAATGGGATTGGTTCAGTTCTGGTACATCTGTACACACTCAGACGGCCAGAATCCCATGAAATTGTAGAAATGGATGAGTTCTTTTTTTTTTTTTAATTTTTTAAGTGTTTATTTATTTTTGATAGAGACAGAGTGTGAGTGGGGGAGGGGCAGAGAGAAAGGGACACAGAATCTGAAGCAGGCTCCAGGCTCCGAGCTGTCAGCACACAGCCTGACGTGGGGCTCGAACTCACAAATCGCGAGATCATGACCTGAGTTGAAGTCAGATGCTTAACCGACTGAGCCACCCAGGTGCCCCCAAAATGGATGAGTTCTTTATGAGGAGCGTCAGACTCTTGATTTTGGTTCAGGTCGTAATCCCAGGGTCGTGGGATTGAGCCCCAAATCATGCTCCAGGATGTGAGTGTCGAGCCTACTTAAGACTCACCTCTCTGTCTTTCTCAAAATAAATAAAGAGGAGTTCTTTGTGAGTTGGTATGAAAATATCACCAAGATACGAAAGCCAAGGTACAGGAGAATGTGTGTGATATGCTTCCATCTGTGTGAGAAAGGCATTAACATTCTTTGGAAGGATAAACAAAAATTTGAGAACCACAAATATGTTTTGGGTGAGAAGTAGACTTTTCCCATTTCAGTTTTTTTCTATACTTTTTTGGTGCTTACCTATTCAAAACATTTAACTAAAATCAGTCGCCAGCAATGGAAACTGAGGACAGCTGGATTTCCAGCTTCTCTTCAAAAACTGGAATATCTAGGGGTGCCTGGGTGGCTCAGTCGGTTAAGCGTCCCACTGAGCCAGTGTCGGCTCAGGTCATGATCTCAGGGTTTTGTGAGTTCGAGCGAGCCCTGCATCGGACTCCATGCTGACAGTGCAGAATCTGCTTGGGATTCTGTCTCCCTCTCTCTCTGCCCCTCCCCCACTCACTGTCTCTCAAATTAAAAAATAAAAAATAAAAAAACCCTGGAATGTCTGGCAATTCCGGGCTCACACTGTTGCTGGAAACAATGAGCTAAAGCTGAGTCGCTTTAGAGGGGCTCGTGCTCTCCAGGTTTCCCTTGTATCCATTATTGTTTCGCCAATTTATTTGATCTGCCTGGCCCCCGTGGGCAATTTGCATGTGAGAGCCTGAGAACCAGAGGCCCTCAGACCCTGGAGAATTTACTCCAAGGGTGTGTGTGTGTGGGGGGGGGTCTGTGAAGAAATGCAGCTGGGGAGAAGCGACAGCTGAGTGACCATTGCAGTGCAAGCAACTGGCCTGCCAGCAACCATCTCTGTGCCCCAGTTCCGAATTCCCTGGGGCCAGAGGGTGTGGTCTTACTCTAGAAGTGTGTGCTTTCCACGGCCCTCCTTTTGGAAGTGACTGACACCAACTCGGACAAAGACACTATAAGAAAACTGTAGACCAATATCCCTCACGAATATAGATGCAGAA